AGTCAGTTTGCTGCCATTTTCCCCTCACAGTGTTGTAGAGCTGCTACAGCAGAAATGCCACATGGGCTTAAAATGTCCCTTTGGACTGTAGAGTGAAGGAAGTCGCTCCTTTACACACATTAAACTGGTTTGGAGTTCCAGTATCGAAGCAGTGATTTTAAAAGGTTTGAACATGCTTTTCCCAGCAGAAGACAAAGTCGAAAATAATGAAGATAATTTGTGTAAAATAGCTTGTTTGAGATAACTGGGTGTGTTGGTGCCTTAAACAGTGAGACACGTAGCTACAGCATCAGATTAAAAAGTTAAAAGATGCAGTTCTGAGACATCCATCGTACCGTATTTTTTTACCCTATAGGTCGGGGGGGGTTGCATAATTTACATGCCCTGTGACTTATACTGTACACCGAAGTGACATATTTATCGATATTTTTCCACATATTTATAAACCAATTTTTGTCTAATATATGACCGTTTTCATTCATTCTGACTGAAAACATTGAACACTAACCTTTTCAGCCGCTAGATGGCACTCTAGCAGTATGGCATACCGTTGTGTCATGTAATAGATAAAGCTGGCTATTAATGACACAAATGGCTTGCCATACAAAGCCACCTTCGTCCAGCTCACTTGGAGCAACCGTCAAATCAGCTTCATTTCGCTGCGCCGCCCCGACGAAATGAAGCTAATTTGATCATTGAAGTGCATTTATTAAGTAAAAGTTCAACTGAGACACACCTTTGCTATAAAGTAGAGCAAACAAATCATTGTTTTAGGTGCTTATTTTGTTAAATTTCAAAGAAATGCACAGCGAGTCCTCCCGTGCACGCACCTACTTCCGTGTATCGGCTTTTGAAATTCAGCTGATTTAACCGTCAACGTGCATTTATTAATGAAAAGTTAGACTAAGACACACCTTTGCTATAATTTCAAGCAAACAAATAATTGTTTTTAAGTGTTAATCTCGTTAAATTCTTGTTAGTCCTCCCGTGCGCGCTCCTGCGGTCGCCATTTGGCAGCCAATTGATTTTTGGCACAACGCCCGCCCATATTTCTGGGTTGTCAGCGGTGACGCACAATAGATGCGACGTATACGGTGAAGTGACGTAATTACAGATTTTTCCACTTTATCAGACATATTTGGACTGATGCGGCTTATAGGGCGGTGCCACGTGTACGGCGGAGAATACTGTAATCTGTGTTTAGCAAAGCATCAAAATAATGTCCACCAGCTGAAGACTAATCTCAATCTGTCCAAAAACAATCAGATAAAGATACAATTTTCAACCACTGAGCAAAGGTCAAACACAAAGACGCTAAATGCAACAATAAAGCCGGGGGACGGGTGGAAATGTGACCTCTAGAAACGAGAATCTTGGAAAAATTCAGGCAAATGAAAAGTTCAACTCCTGAATAGCTGTTGTGTAGTAACAGTTACTCATCCTGTTCCCCGTTGATTGATTAGATAATTGAATTGGTCAAAAAGCTGGAAATTTAACACAAACCCCACAAAACCTCTGACACAGAAACCACTCTGGGAACATAGAAGCCAATTTGAGTTTGTTTGTTTTTTATTAAACTTACTTTCTAATCTGCTTTTACAGATTAATCTACTGCACAGACTGGAAAACACACGAAAAAGCACTCATCATAGTCAGTTTGTGTTTTTAACGCTTTTTTCCCCCAATTTGTATCCAATTTAAAAGACGAAGGAAAAGTTTAGTTGAGCAGATTTAGAGAAACGTTAAGTGAACTTGGTCTCAAACCAAGTTTTTGGATCATGTTATGAAAAAAAACAGTTTTTCTACTTTATATTCTTTAGTATAAAGAGGAGAAAAGATGTGAAGTTGTAACGGAGTCAAAAACACAACTTTAAGGAAATGCAATGGAGAGCCTGAACCCGTCCCAACCAAAGAGGTACCACCCCTACAGGACCACAGGTGAGGACTCAGAACCCGCTCCGAGGTGCCGTCTGGTGACGAGCTGCGCCTGGTTTTCAGGATAATTTCACTTCCATATAAAAACAAGCTGAACGTTCAACCTTTGCGGGGAACCAGAACATTCACTGTCGGCCCGGAGGGGTTCGGTGTCGGAGCGGTGAGAGCTGCAGGTTTGTGTCAGTGAGGCTGACAAGCTGTCATGTATGAAACAAACACACTCTCAGCTGTGGGAAAGGCCTGCGAGGAAGAGGGAGGAGCGGGGAAGGAAAAGAGAGAAGGATGTGAAAGGACATGACGATGATGACAGAGAACCAACACCTTTACACTCAGATATGCAACAAGGGTGGGGGTTACCAGCTACGGTGTGACGCATCACAATGTGGACACGAACAAACCAGACCAATTAAAACATACCGATCAATAATTGTTTAATGTTAACGATGTCTTATTGAGGATCCTAAAGCCTGGACGTGCAACAGTTTGAGGAGAGGACACAACAGAAAGTCCTGCACAGCGTTTGCAAGTATTTCAGCTTTTATGAAGCTAAAAGGGAAAAATATAATTGTTTGTGTGCATACGTATACTCTGAGAATGAAGAAGAAAAGCAGCCGGTGATAGCTCGCTGCAGCTGTCAGAGGAACATGGAGCAAGATGTGAACGTTTCCACCTCACATGGAAAAGGCCAAGCAAGTTAAAAACCCATCGCAGCTTTGAATGCAAAGGACTCGGAGGTTAATAGTCAGAGCTTCTGCGCCGTTTCGCTGTTAGGAGCCATAATTCAACATGATCATACTATGATGAAGAGCACGGTCATCAGACTTTACAACAGAACCAGCAAGTAATGGAACCACTGCAGAAAGTGCTCTGAAGCAAGACCAACAGTAGGCCCTCGCTACTTCGTGGTTTGTTTGTCGTGGACTCGCACATTGTGTTAAAGAGAGTAAATGTCATGAATAAATTTGACATTAAAAATAATCCAAGTTGAAGTGTTGCATCATTTTCAACCCCCTTTTTGGCATCTGCACTTGGTAGCAGGCCAAATTGACAAACACCATGCAGAATAATGTAGTGTTTTAATTCCACAGCAGAAAAAGCTATGCAGTCTCTGTAAGTAGGTCTAGGGGAAAAAATATTGGTATCGGTTATCGGGCAAATAAATTTTAACATATCAGATATCGGCCAAAAATCCAATATTGTGCATCCCTAAATTATTTTACATTATTTAGTACCTCCTGCCCCTTTGTGAAACCCACACTGCAGGATAAACTTCCCGCTGCAGCTGATCAGCTGTTCACTGTGCAGAGCAGAAAAGTGGGCGTGGCCAAGAGCGCTTGCAGATGGCAAAGAGCAGAGGAGGCAGGGAGCTGAAATCATGACATCCTGTATCTTTTAGAGCATTTAAAGTTTAGAAACATTGCTTAGAATATTGCCAGGTTGTCGAGAAGGGTTTAAAACACCTTAATATATATATATATATATATATATATATATATATATATATATATATATATATA